TCTCTATATGTACACCATACGCTAAAGAGAGAGAGAGAAAGAAAAGAGAAGAGGAGAATATCTACAGAAAAAAATATTGATATAGAGTTCAATTGAGAAGGTGATCAGAGAAAAGAAGTAAAAATGACATGAATAATAGAACAAACTGTATATTTTATTTGATGTGCATCAGTAACAATAACTATGTCATTAAAGTTTATCTGTAGTTAAATAGACAGGAATCAGAATTTAAAACAAAAAAGAAAACAACGCTTATACTACGTTTATTTTTTATTATAGAAAAAAAAACGGTAAGTCCAAGAATAATGCTATCTCAAACAGTTTTTGAAAATGTAATCATCTTAAAAATACATAAAACTAATTACACAATTCATTGTTTAACAGATGATGGCTAAGAATAATAGTTGAAATTTAGATTATATAGATATTGAGGTTTTATCTGTAGAAGTCTTTTTTCCTTGAAGAATCTCATTCGTATAATCCTTGAAATACTTCTCTTCTTCTATGATCTATGTTGTAGATTGTTTATATCGCATTATAAACGCCTTTCGGAAGAAAATAATTATCTTGAAAATATTTGAACATATACATAAGTTTCTAGTCTATTATTCAATGATATATCATATATACATTCTTCTCGCAGTCATTGAGTAGTTAATCAAACTTTGTTTCGTCACATGTATAGACAAATAAAAAACAAAAGATGTCTGTTATTGTGCTAACAATATGTTACCTACTTTTTATTTTCTGGTTAAAGCTCAGATTACATTTATTCGATTTAAATGATACTATTGTGCACTTCTCTTTGTCATAATCAGACATCTAAATACAACATTAGATTTAAATGAACACGCGTTTATTGTTCACTGATTAGTATTTAGTGAAATTTAATATATATTAATTGCAGTTTTTGATCTATTAATCTATCTCTATCTAAATTATTTATAACGATCAATTTGTTCTTCGTTTTTGAGCACTTTGAAACAATGTGAATGCTTTATGCGAGAAGAATTCAGTGCTGTACCGGAAACTTTTTTCAAACTGTATGAAATCTTCCTTTAAATATGAAACAATGGTAAAATAGTAGTTATAACGGAAAAGTACATATATATATATATATATGAGAATACATAATCGCTTTTCAATTAATCTTCTTGAGTATGTGGGCGTTTAAAGAGTAAATGAAATAGCCGGACATCAATTTCACTATCAATCAGATGGTGAAGTGTTTTTTTTTTTTGTTGTTTCAGCGCTAATGATCATATTGTATCATCAATTAGAAGAAATGAGAGTAACTATACTTAGGAAATTCATCACAGTTTAACTATAAGATATATGATAAATGTTTACCTTTCTGCTCAACTAGAAGTACAGATGTCTGAACCGGACAAAAACGAACATAGAATCCCTATTTCTTCCACATCCAAAGTTGGTACTTGTACAAACTTCCACGCCTTAGATGTGGAAAATTTTTAGGCAGCGTCTTTTCTGCTCCATGACTATTCGATTTTTAGCACGGAAACTAAACAAAAATTGCTATATGAAAGAAAAATGTAAAATCCCTCATCTTATGTCTAAGATACGTGTATATGTTTATAGCTAAGAGACTGATACAATAAGCTAAAATCTTACTATATTAAGAGCTTTTCGATACGTTGTTTAACTAAGTAATTCTACTAACGCAATGTGATTTCGCTATTATTTTTTTTGCATTTTGATTATTTTTCTAATTTTTGAGTGAATACGCATTCAGAACTCTACAATCGTTTTAAATTGAAGAGAAAAGTATATTGAATATTTTGAGACGTCCTCACATTCTACATATCCTCAATTTAAGACATTGTAGAGTTTCAGAAGTATTCGAAAACTATAGAAGAATGAAAATGCCAAAAATCGTGATAAAATCACATTACGTTAGTAGAATTATATAGCTAAGCCATATACAAACATAAATAAGTTTGATAGATGAAAATATCTTGCGTGATTACTGCATCAACATTTTGTCGTTTTTTTTTTACCAGTATGACCTAATAGCTGTACAAAATGGAGTTATCGTTTTAGCATCATGCCTCATTGAAACAAATAACGATATTTATTGATTTGTTTACATCATTTACAAGGTCAGTTAACTGACTTTTACATATTCTCTTTTCTTTTCATTGTTACTTGTCATGTTAGTTGATGTGATTGAAATCTAAATGTGATTGATTAATGATAAGCAATATGTTCATGTTTTATCATATTTTCAATTTACTATATTTGATCTCACTTCATTTTCATTCACTAAACGATTGTGCTTTCTTTGATAATTAGTGTATGCGAATTGAAATACATAATTTTTTCTCAACTAAATGAACTGATCGTCCATATTTTCGAAGAGACACAGATATAGTAGAAAAGAGTTGGACTAATGACATTTTTCAGTAATTATTCTGTACAACGTAGGTTTCTTCTACTCATCATCTTTTTTGTCAGACAGTAATTAGTTTTTATTGAGCAATCTCGTTAGTTCTAATCTTCAACTTGTCACTTCATGATAATGTCAAACCAACTGAGATGTTCTTGACACTATCTATTTAGACAATATAACAAAATTATTCTCAAATAAACACAGAAATAAGTTAAGTTCTACAACAGGATCCTACATGTGTTATCATCTATGTCTAAAGTTTTTAATATTAATGAAAATAATTGCATCAGTTTACCGATATTCGTTTCACCATAAAAACACTTCATCTCATATAGAAACCGGTAACGCCATCATCTTACAAAAATTTCAAAGATGTTTATACTGTAGGTGTTATAAATAACAGAAAATATCATTTTCCTGTTCTCGGATATTTCCATTATGGTTTAATACCTTTCAGTTAAAAATTATAAAACACCTCATCAGTATACTCTTATATACTATGTAGAGTTTAGTTTTTTCTGTATTAACAATTGTATCACTAAATCTATCTAGTAACACAACAAATCATCAAGACAGAGAATATAAAAAAAATGTCCCTGTTATTTATGCTGTGTTAATCATGTTTTTGCTCTACTGCGCTTACTTCTATGTAAGACTGGTAGGGTCACACTATCGGGTGTACGAGAAAGGATAAAGAAGTAATTTTGTTTCAATTTTAGTAAAAAAAAAAAAGAGTTTAATAATGGTCAAAAGAATGACCTCTTTTCGTTCAGTGTCATTTCATTGTTATTCAAGAACACATCTTTATGACGTAAAAAGTAAACGTTATTGTTTCAAGTTATTTATGTCAAGTGATTGATTGATTGATTGATTGTAACCTTACATTTGTATCGAAAGTCATCATCATCATCAACATTATTTTGTTCAAAGATATATAATATAAACAATACTATTCGCTCTTTAACGAAATCATAAAATATTTTCCTTCTTTTGTTCATAGAAGAAGTCCCACATATATCATTTATGTATTTCTAAAACTTTTCATTTTCTTTTGAACATTGTCTAAAAAATAGATGATGAAGAAAAATTTCAATTTTAATCAATACCTATGAGTCCCAGACGAGTTTAGCTTTCGTTTTATTTAAAATCAAACTAAATACTCATCATGTGATAGTCAAACGAATACTACTAGTATTATATTTGCCATTCAAAAATAATAATAGAGCGAAAGAACAAGAATAGAAAAAGATTGATAATAGATATAATACATAGAAGATAGATCAAAAAAACGATGATGATTGCATGATACATAATGAAATCTAATTGTTTTTGTTGAATCTACCTATATGAAGAAATTAAAATGAGCTTAAGTGTATGCACTTTAAAAATAATATAGAGTAATTTATTATAATGTAGTTAGAATTGTCTGACTAAAAATATATGTGGTGATACACTAAACGTGAAGATTTAATTTAAACTTTATTTTCTCAGAATACAAACGGAAATAAATCCATTATAAATATTCTAAAATTTATGACTAAACTGTCGAAAAAACACAAAATTCATCCTGTATGAATATTGTCTGAAACGTATAAACTTCAATTTGCTGTAAACTACAACTAAATAAAGTGTGAAAATTTTCATTCAACTTAATGGTAAAAAGTCCAGTACGAAAATGTAAAATGTACGATCATTTATGATTCAATATGTTTCGAACTCAATAAAATCTTCGTCTTTAATCTTTATTGTTGTCAGTAATTATAAATATATCATTGACAAAACTTTGAACAACAAAGAAAATTGATCTTTTAAACAACATTTGGTATAACCACAATGAATAATCAATCTCATATTACTATAGAAGCTAGCTTATAATGAAAACTAATTGTCATATGAAAGATTAGATGTTTGTTTTCGTCAATAATTTCAACTAGCATGAAATTTAAAAGTTAAAGTTATATAAATGTGTAAGAAGCAGAATATGAGAAAAAGAGATAATTACATAGATTCTCAAAAACATGATTTTCAAACTGCTCATATTTTAGTTGTGACTTTTGTTACTTTTACAACTCCTTGAAATAAGAATATTAGTCTCACTAAAAGTGTTTCTAAATAGAGATGTTGGTGTAATGAGTTCGCCTCTTGTTGCCTCTATCTGATTATATTAGACTAGAGTTCTAAATTGTATTATTCTTTAGAAATTATTCTGAATTTTTAGGTCTATTTATATTCCGAAACGACTTTAAATTTTCAGAATTATCATATTGATGAAGGTTCAAGTGATGCTTGATCCATAATAATCAAAAGTTAAAATAGATCATAAACGATGACGGATGGTTTAAAATTTCGATGCTGTGCTAATCTTAATCGATTGAGTCACATACGTGACGACAATGATATTTCATTACAATAAGATATTCTTTTTACAAGTTTTCATACTAATGCTATTTCAATATGTTGAATGTGTTCATCAACAATCCGCAATAATGAGTAAGGGGTTAAACAAAAAATATTTCTTAGTATAGTAATTTTATCATTAAATTTTAGATGGTTGCGTGTACAAACAATTGACTTATTCGGTAAGAAGCATATGGTAAAGAGCACACTATATATTTTACTATTCATAGTTTATGTTTTCAATTAGATCAATTCTGAATGGGAAAATCAGCATTGTCAGACTTGCAAATGTTTAAATGATAGTATTGTAGCTTGTCAAAATCGAACATGTCAAATGCAAGAATGTCAAAAGGTAAATATATGATAATTAACTATGTTTAATAAAAAAATTAAATTGTTCACTTCTTTCAAGAATGAACGACTAACAATTGATGGTCTTGAATGTTGTCCAACTTGTTCACCATTGAAACAAACGTGTATTCATGAAGGCACATTAATTCATGTACGTAATCCAATGAATTCATTATTTGCATTCAGATCTATTTTCATGTTTTGCAGCATAATACCGTGTTTTATCCTTACACATGCTATATGTGTTTGTGCCGCAATGGTCAATTGTTTTGTAATGATCATTGTCACAAACATCAAGGTTAGTATAAAGATAAGTTTAGTAAATTTATTCAATTTGACAGCATGTATAGGTACTGGTTGTTTATTTCAAAATGAAATTAAACCATTTAACAGTACATGGTCACCATTTTCATGTGTTGTATGTCAGTGTCTACACCTGAATAATGATCAATATCATTCTGTTTGCTATGTCAAACAATGTCCATTAACTCCATATTGCAACGGTGTAAGCAGACGAAATAATAATCAAATTATCCAGATAAAAATTTTGTGCGATTTTTTTTTGAGGATTTGGAGTTTGTTCAAGGTGAATGTTGTCCAATATGTAAGACATCATTTTGCTCTGACGGACATCAGGTAAGTCACAAAACTAATTTCTCTTGATAAGAAGACGAATACTTTTATAAAATTATCTTCTAAAAAGTTTACAAGACCGCTTTGCTATGTAACGTTGCTGCCATAGCCTAAGTCCATCACATATCTTTTGTATATTGATTCTTCTATAGTTTTCGAATGAACACAATTCGACAGCTTTGCAATGTAAAAATGCAAACTATAACGAATGAACTATATTTTCTCAACAACGAACATGTAGAGCGCGATAACACTTCAAAATCCTAAGTATACTTTTCTTTTCAGGTTAAACCGTTGTGAAGCTCTTGCCCAGGTAAACAAAAGACGGCTAAAAACTGGGATCCGTTTTTGGCTTCGGACAGGTGACCAAGGCCAAAAAAGGTGTGAGCAAAGTGCCACTTTTGTACGGGATGACGACGTCCAGACGTCGCAGAAAAAGTCGGCTGAGGACGCCTGTCCGGACTAGTGTTGTGACTATACACCCGTCGCGTTTTAATTATTTTAAATCAACATTATCGGACACCATCAAGATGACCGTCCCGACGCCCATCTTAAACAACATGTCCGGTAGCGAAACACGACGCCCTGTCTGCGAGTATGACTGAGGTACGCAAAGTGCCACTTTGTGCAGAACAATGGCGTCCAGTCATTGTTGTGTTTTGGACCTCTTTGACCACTCATCCGGACGGTCGTCTTGATAGTGTTCGATAATATTACTAGTTCCACAGTTTTCCAGTCATCGTTTTGTTATCTACGATTGATTCCACCATGTTTTACTCGGATTTTTCTTCGAAAACATAGTGCAATCAAATTTTAACGCGTTCGTCCAGCAGATAATGCTTTTGTCATGTTATAACCTCTATCTGAAAAGAAAAAGCCAGTATGAGTCAGATAGTAAATTCAGAGGATGTGCACAGCAAATTCAGCTCTCTGTCCCCTTATCTAAATAGATCTCATTTTCCCTAGTCACAATGTTACACTATCAGATGTTGATATAAAAGGGTCTCTCAAAAGGAATATTTCTTCAGATAGCTGAGAAGCTGATTTCACCATATTTTACCGGATTTTTTCTTCGGAAACATAATGCAATCAGGGTCAATCATTCACCTCAGACTCATTTTGAAGCTGAGATCAAAATTTATACATAGTAGTTTTATTAAGACGCCCTCTCCTTGTCTAAATCCTTTCTATTTGTCAAGAACCATATTAATAGATTTTTCTCAATTATGGTTTGCCATATAAGTGTCATTTGATCTCAGAATAAAAGTGAGAGCGGTTAAATATTTTACAGTTCGCCTGTCAGTTTTACCGTAAGGTAACGTTTGCCATACGTGAAGAAAACGTTCACGTTTGGACTTTCAGAGGATGTATATCTGTAGATATTATCGCTAGGATCAGTTCGTTATTAGAATCTAATATTGTGCGAATGAGGCGGAATGGCTGAGCCCAATCCTCCGTGCGTCAGACAGAACCGAACTGATCGTCGCTACATCCTGAGAGTCACTAACAGTAAAAGCGATATTACACTGAGGATACACATAATTGTTATAACATTAACCTTTCATGCATTACTCACTTCTGTGCAGATGTATTTTGAGATCTTTACACAGCAAACAGTAACTGAGTCTATACGTCTAAGAAAGGCCCTATATTTATTTGGTGTGTTTCATGAGAAAGAAGAACCATTTTTGATACCCAAAATGAATGCAGAAAAATTGCAACTGTGTGACAGGACAGTAAAATAGAAAGGATTTTCTATATCTCTATTCTCTCACTCACTGCAAGTGCTGTGTACTTACTGTATAAATGGGTTATTTTAATGATTTAGCTCTACTTTAAAAATGTTCAAAAAGCAGATATAAACTGCAAAAAGTTCGAATATAAAAGTAGTCTACTTTAAGAAATAAAGTACCTTATATGACTGGCACTGTTTTTCGTCTCGCTCAAAATGAGACAAAAACGTTGGTATCGTCAATCATATACGTGGCGGAAGTGTCTATAAATATACATATATATATATATACGTTTATAGGAAGCATGTTTCTTCGTACGAAGAAAAATGTTAGAAAAGGATAGATTATTCTCTGACTTATTTAATTATTATTATCTGACTCATGCTGATTTTTTCTGTACAGATAGAGGTTATAACTTATAACATGACAAAAGCATTATCTGCTTGACAAACACGTTAAAATTTGGTTGCACTATGTTCTCGAAGAAAAGTCCTAGTAAAACATGGTGGAATCAATCGTAGATAACAAAACAGTGACTGGAAAAATGTGGAACTAGTGCATATCGGTGCAACATAGTATGCCGTGCGCACTGGTAGTGCCGACCGTTTTTTAGTACTGTACCGCGATCTTTTTGTAGGAGAGTCGATCATGTTTTACATACGAATCTTACACTTCCTTCCCTTACAAATTTGTTCCTGTATCAGACTTAGCGGCTTCTCGTACTCATGGACGATACAGTCCTTTGAGTACAAAAGAAGGACGTCTGATTTACAGTCAGGACGTTGTATCAGTTGACAGTGGCAAGATTGGTACACAGGTATTACATTCAAGAAGCACGTCTTTAACGTGATCCAGACGGTATTTCGGACGATTTCCTGAAAGCTTTTTCAAAAAAAGACGCGCCTGCTATTACGACATTATCCGAGGCACATATGCCGTCAAGACGGGCAGCATGAATGTGCTGCAACGGCACGACCGTCACCATAGTCTTGACTATACACAGGTCACGCGACCCGATGGGCGTCATTTTAACCTTTTGGACCTCTTCGTCCTTAACTGACACCTTGAGTGGCGTCAGGGAGTACGTCAGAACGTACTCTCGGACATTTCTAAAATATTGTTGTTTTCCAGACTAGTCCAGACGAGGTTCTCGGACATTTCGGACGCCGGTCAACCACATTTTTTTTTCTTCACCTGGGTGATATGTCCTCATTCGAAAAATATAAAAGAAACAAAATAATAATAAAAAACATGGTGGAATCGCATTTTGGTAGCAAAATTATGTGGCAAAGTCGAAAACTAAGCGCACAGCGTCAAATCTATAAAAAAACACTGTTTTATTCCAAATCCATTTTTAGAATGGTGATGTTTGGAAACGTGACAATTGTACATATTGTAAATGTGAAAATGGGTCTATTAGATGTACAAAAGAAGTCTGTCCGACGATTCATTGTGGACAGGTGAACTTTCATTCATTTATTCTTTTAGTTAGAATCTCACTCCGTACGGCAAAAATGATGTCTTTTGCTAAAAAACATTACACATGGTTAAATAGTCCAAAGTGCCCTCTTTCGAACGCACTAAAGTAGATACCTTGAAAAGCACGATTCGACATTTTTTGCCCATACTTTACTTGCACTAGAACCCGGAGCATCTTAAAATGACGAGAGCGCATTACTAGACGCTGATTTTTGCGTACTTCCGCAATTCTACCGAGTATAACATAAAGCCTGGGTTCTATAAGCGATAGATTCTGCTGATCTGTGGAATCTCTAATCTGAGATATCAAGTGAATTTCTTTGAGAATTCAGCACAAATTTACAATTATTTTAACAATACTCCTCCAAGGAAAATATACCAAAAGAAAATATACCGTAGAGAAATTGTACACAATTGAAACTCAAAACCTCGAGGTCTTTTTTTTCTGAAAATCTTATTTAGAATATGAAAATCAAAATTCTGAGGTAATATCGTCGTTGTTTAGCGAAATTCTTGCAAAAATAGCGACAGCCTGTAGAATGCAGAGTGGGAAAAGATGGGATCCACACGAAGACTTGGAGTGAGATGAACATTCTCTACAATTAGTTTAAGCTTTTTATTTAAAATAAGAAAAAATAACTAATAATGATCACAAGCAAGTGGAGAGACACTCATAATAGTAGTCATTATTTCGTATAGATAAAAAAATATGATCGAAGCGACAACAAGAACATTAGAAATTTTTTTGCCATATCTGTCCAACAATTGCCAAAATAGGTTTTGAAGAGATCTGAATTAATTACGTCCTTTTTTCAGTATGAATATTTAATTCGTCGAAGACATTCATGCTGCTTTGAATGTGTTCGTCATTCATGTTCGTTTTATGGTGAAACCTATTTTAATGGCGAGATTTGGTATACATCAGCTTGCCAATACTGTTCATGTTGGATGGGAAATATTCACTGTAAAAGTGTTCAATGTCAATATCAATTTTGTTTAAAGGTGAGTATTTCTTATTTTTTACGATCTATAATGTTCCCAATAATTCATATTTTTAGTTTTTTTAGAATGAAATTGAAGAACGTCGTCATGATAGTTGTTGTGTTAATTGTCGCGCACCAAAAACATGTCATTATCATGGACAATTATTAAAAGTGAGTATTATTTGTAAATAACTTTAATCATATATAAATAAATATTTTAGGAAGGAACGTATACACAAATAGATGAGTGTACACTATGCACATGTTCATCTCAGAGTCAAATTGAATGTTATGAAAAATGTAATAATAATAGAACAGTTATCACTAGACTTTTTGCTCATCGTAACAAAAGCATAAAAATTGATTTAAGTATATTTACATTTCAAGACAAGACTATACCTACATATAATGCAAAACTCTATTATCTTGGATGTAAGTACGAAAATAGTTTATTTATCAATATTCAATTATTGTTGTTCTTCATTTTTAGATTCAAAACTTGGTATACTCAAAAGTTTATCAACAAATTCAACACAAATGAATTATACAGATTTTCAAGTTGGAAATGTTCAATATCAATCAACAATTTTAACGAATAGTACAGATGTTATATTATTGGGTATTATTGATAATAAACACGTTTACACAATTCTCATTTTCATCGACTTTCATCCATATTTAATCGTAAATTTTTTTTCATAACTTCTAATTAAAAATAATTGTTATGGTATTTCTTTGTTTTTATACTAGCCGTCACCGACTCAATGGAACAGTATAAATGTTTTCTATATCAATAATTATTTACCAGTCTGTCTCAATACATTGTTTACCGACAGTAACATAATAGATGCTAAATACGAACTGATAAATAACACACTAAAATTCGGTATACTCTTTTTATTTTTAATGAAAATGTATCTATATTCATGTTGTTGTTACTCAAACATGTAGGTATTTTAACAAATAATGAAGAATTCATAAATGATACTTATCTTCCAATTCGTCAGTTCACAAGTGAACAATTAAATAATGGCCATATTTGGTATACGCCTACTAAAAATGCATTAGAATGTAAATGCATATTTAATGTTGAACAAGAAGAAGAATGCACAAATTGTGATAGAATAATATTTGATCATGGTTTATTTGACGTAAGTGTCGTAGTCGCTTCAACTGTAAACTTTACTATCTAATTGATTATAATTAGGTTTCGTCAATTGAAGATGGCAATAACAAGAACTATGGAAAAAAACTTGTTCATTTTGTGTTGATGACTCGACAAATGACTCGAACGTCGAATTTACGACAATTGGTGACAATTGGTGTATGTGTTTTCTTAATTATTATAGAACATATTTTCCGGATGAGTTTTATTTCAGATTATCGCTGGACAGATAGTACAACTCAATGCAAATAATTTAAATTTAACGAATATTGATAATTCAGAGTATTTACATGTTGAATATTCTTCCGATGATAAAGAATCAATGATGCGAGTTCATTTTGAACATCGAAGCGGATCTGGAATAAAAATTTACAAATTTACAAAAGATGATATCATCAAAGGAAACATATTAATACGATCAAAAGCTGATGGCTTTTATAATGAACCTGTGACTTATAACTTCAATCTTGCGGGTAAAGGCATTTAGTAATCTCTGTTCAAAATTAAGTGATCGTGGCCAATTTTTTGAATCACTTTTGAAAGAAAATAAATGAAGACTTCGCCATGCGATAGAGGAAACTTGGCCACATCTTTTCTTAACAGAAAAAAATATATAAAAATCTCTTTCGAAAGAAGATCAATGGGAAATCACTTTGAATATTAAAAATTCAAGTGAGATATTCTTTTACATGGATGGCTAGACAGATAACTTGAAATGTTCTCTTGAAAATAAGAAATCTTTGATCTCTTAGCGTTTGTTCTTTTCGAGGACGTTGTATCAGATTTCCTGGGTATGCATTGCCGTGGCCAAAAGAGGGGCGAGTAAGGAGGTGTACTCCCTCCTGCTTTTGGAAAAAAATTCTCTTTAATAATCTCTTTTCTTCCCAAGAATTTCGTCTAATTTCGTCTTGCCCGGATCTGATCTAATGAAAATTTAACAAACATATGCGTCTTCCACTTTGTCTCCCAAAATAATTGAGAACAAAATTTTTCTCCCACTTTTCTTCGATGAGAAAAAAGCTTAAATTGATATCAACACTATTATTTAGTTATTGTGTTGAAATTATGATGATAGATCATGTTGTGTTCTATGGTTTTCTCTCAAATAAATTTACACCCCTCCTGCTTTTTTTCTCTCGCCACGCCCCAGCGTTAAAGTATCTTCTGGAAACTTTCGAAAGTGCACATCGATTCTTTCCACACTTTGAACCATTTGATGATGTAAAGGAGCTAAGATCGTGTGGTTGATAATCTCCCACTAGTTTTAAAGCTTCCTAGAAATCTGATAATACGTCCAAACGGCATAAAATTAAAAAGTCAGAAGATTTCAACATTTAAAGTTATGTATTTTTTAGAGTCAGAGGAGATCTTCTGAAAAACTCGATTTCGAAAAATGACTTTTTGACAGCTACATGTTTCTGGCTATCGCTTATCAAGCATTACTCAAGATCAACCCATGTTTGAGCGATCGATACTTGAACGACCCAACATTTGAGCGAAGTGCACCACTTATAGTTGCTCACCTTCACTCCTCGCCCATCCTCACCCTCTACAGGGATAGTCCAAAAAATTCAGTTTATAATCGGACGAAAAAGAAGTTGTTATCATCATCGTTATCGAAGTGAACAAGTATTCCATTTTCCTGATCGGAAAAAGTCAAATTGAAAAGTTCAAATCTCGACGCTTAAATGTCGTTTGATAATTATTCAAAAAACTACCACAATCATATAATTTTTAGACAGATCATACTAATGAAAAATAAAGCAAACAATTTGTATTTTTAGCTCAAAATGAAATGACACCAATTAGACTTAACATTTTGACAGTTGATTCCCAACCACTACAATTTCGAGAGAATACAATGTCCATCAATGTTGCGCAATTAGGAATGATTCCTCTATTACCATCTCTGTTCGACATCAACACTCCTGATATTCAAATATTCGATCTCTACTTCAGTCTCATCAAATTTCCAACAGCAGGATATTTACAGAATACTATTGGGACAATATTCAGTTCAAGTAAATCTCTAATTATTCGATTTCATGAAAGTAGAAAAGCATCTAAGATATTCTATTTTAGATGTTGGTATCCGATATTTTGAATTAATGAATCACACTTTGTACTATTTTCATACGAATATCAATCAAACAAACGATATAATATCATTTGATGTTACTGACGGAATTTCCTCTTCTATAAAAACATTAATAATTAATGTAATACCATTAATATCTACAAAAATTGGACCAACACGTTTACATGAATCCTTGTTGCAATTATCGATTGATGAAGGTTCGTCTATTATGATAATTTTTTCGATGTATACGCTTCGTTCTTTTTAGCTGCAGAAATCGTAATTCAACGTCAACATATTGGTTACACTAGTCTTACATCAGATGAAATTAAATACAAACTTTTACTAGTACCGCGCTACGGTTATCTAATTAAAAATACGAAACAATTAGTGCCGTCTGACACATTCACTCAAACTGATATTGATATGTATATGATACGGTACGTTTAATTGATTACAAAGAAGAAATATATTTTATGTTCAATTGTTTTAGATATCAAGCACCAGCAGAAATTGGTTTATTACCGATTAGTGAAAATATTATCTTTAATGTTACAGACATACAACGTTTCATGATGCCATTACAAATGCTATTAATTAATATACGATCAATTGACAATCAACCACCCAAACTTTCACTTAAAACAGACATAATTGAGGTTAAAATTGACTAAATTCTTTGTAAATAAATGGTTTAGATCATCTAATTTCACTTCGTTTTTTCTCGTAGGTTATTGAAGGTGAATATATTTATCTTGATGAAAAGATTATATCGTTGTTTGATATTGATTCATCACTTGAACAAATTCACATCATTGTTGATACTTTACCAGTTTTTGGCTATATTGAATTGACAAATAAAAGTATGTTGAATTATGGATAACATAATCGGAATAAATTATCAATTAATTCTTTTTATCAGAGCAAAGTGTTACATCATTCACTATTATACAAATATTAAATCGATTCATTCGTTATGTACAAAATGATCATTACAGCAATGAGCCAAAACGTGACAAATTCAAAATTTATGCAACAGATGGTATCAATGATTCACCCTTATTAACCGTTATTGTTAATATTAAAGTAGATAGGATTGAAAAAACTGCATATTTCTTTTCATAATATTGGGTCCTTGTTTTAGTTAGTAAATGATGAACAACCAATATTAATAACTCAACCAGTTTATGCATCGCCTTTTACGCGTACAATATTAAACACAAATTTTATTCATGTATTTGATGTGGATACACCAGTGACAAATTTAACGTTTATTTTAAAAACATTACCAAAATATGGTAAGTCATTTTAGATAATAACCAATAATAAAAATCGTCTATTTCTCTTTATTTTAAATAAATTGACCATAGGTTATCTCATCATCAATGACGCTCGACTAACTGTGACTAATTCAACTTTTCCCTATGAATATTTGGTTAACAATCGAGTTTTTTATGATTCAAACTATAATTTAATAAATATTGAAGATTCAATTCTAATGAGTGTATTTGATGGAAATTTTACATCTGAAACTACTACATTAAGAATATTAATCGATGATACAGTCAGATATGCGCGCTTAGAAAATAGAGTCTTATCAATGGCAAATGGTACGTATGGAATATTTTGTATAAATAATATATAGAATAAATTATTATGCTTTTCAAATACGGGCGGTACACAAACCTTTTTAATCACTTTTGAAAGAAAATAAATGAAGACTTGACGCCTTCATCATGCAATAGAGGAAACATGGCCACATCTTTTCTTAACAGAAAAAAATATATAAAAATCTCTTTCGAAAGAAGATCAATGGGAAATCACTTTGAATATTAAAAATTCAAGTGAGAAGATGTTCTTTTACATGGATGGCTAGATAAGATAACTTGAAATGTTCCCTTGAAAATAAGAAATCTTTGATCTCTCTAGTTTTTGTTGTTTTTGGGAACGTTGCATCAAACTTCCTAGATATCTCAAGACCGGTATGAGATCAAATGTATGCCCTAGTGGAACTTCTTATACCCAAGATCTTGGATTAAGAAATACTACAAGATCTCGGAAAAAACGCCAAGAAGTCAAGTTCTTGAAACATTTTGGCTTACTTCACTCAGGATCTTGGCCAAGATCTTGCGTTAAGAAATTTCAACATCTATAGTGAATCCACTCAAGATGTTGCAAGGGCTTGAATGACAAATTTTCTTTACATTTTGTTTTTTAAAAATGCAAAGCAACTGTTCTCATACGCAGAATCTTTGACCACGGCTGTGATTGAATCTTTGATTAAACTCAATTTTTCTGATTTCTGCAACTATAAGATCACCTGGATTGTTGGTGGATAATTTATGAATTTTTTAATATTCGATCTGCATGTTTTCAAAAAAGCACTTATTCACGATTTTTAGAAATTGCTACAAAATTCAGCGTGGTTGATAATCTCGATTTCCGTTTAGTTTTCGAGACGTTCTAAAAAGATTTTTAAAGTTTTTTTGTAAATAATGCCCACAACAGTGATAAAAATAGGGCTATTCGTAGCTGCAGGATTTCTCAGTAACGAAAGATTATAGAGAGCTCGGGCTGGTCTTAAGCTGACGAAAACATATGTGTTAAAGGCTAATAGAGCCGAATTTTTTCGTATTTTACTTTTCAAATTAATGGTCAGCGTCAAAAGTCCAAAATTCGGAAAAGTCTCATTAACTTGCATAAATATATTTTCTAACCAGAAATCTAGACCGAATATCAAAAATCGGGCTCTATTAGCCTCTAGCCACATGTATCAACTGCAATTTAAAAATCTTCCCAAGCTCGCTGTGATGTTTCGTTACTGAGAAATCTTGTAGCTACGAAATGATGTTAAGGTGAAAATCGTTTTCGAGATATGGTGACGCCAGTCTCTGATGCATATTTAAGGGCTTTCAGCAAAATTCTCATAACTCTTGATCAGAACATCGTTCAGAGTTAAGAGATATCTCATTTTGATCAAAAATGTTTGTTCTATTTTCCGGTGTTATTGAAAATATTTTTGGCTTTGTTTTTATATCGGAAAGTAAAATTTTTTCGAAAAGTCAGCTTTTCAAGTTTTTCAGAAAATTTTTCGAAAAACCTCCATACGCTTCGCCTTAATAAAAAGATGCGGAGAAGTCTTTCGAATGACTTAAAATCTTTAAATTCGCATTCTCCTTGTTCAGAAATTATTCAAAACATTTTTTATGTACCCTACTTTAAAAAGTATAATACATTTAATTTAAGGAGAAAAAGCAATCATAAACAGATGGATTTTAAATCTTATCAATGATTCTATACCAACAGATTCAATAATATATCGTATAAGGAAAGCATCAAATTTTGGAAGATTGACCGTAAACAACAGTATGACTGATCATTTTACACAGACGGATATTAACCAAGGTTGGTAAATTACCACATTATAGTCTTGCAATTTCAATATGTATTTGTTTTGTATTCTATAGATCAAGTTCTATTTGAACATATGCTATATGAAACAACTGGTGTAATATGGTTTACGTTTGATCTTTGGATAAATAATCAAGTTCAATTTGAAAATCAAAAATTTCTCGCTTTAATTCAAGGTAAATATATATTTCGTTTATATTGTTTTTTTTGTAATTGTTAACACATTTTTAAAATTGAAGCAAACAAGATTCCTCCAACAATGACTCAAAATCGAATATTTTCCTTATATGCTGATAGCCGACGAATAATAACAAAATTCGATTTAAATGTCAATGACGATGATACATCGATTCAAAATATTAAATTGTCTATTTTGACATCTTGTCAATATGGAAGATTAGAATTTAGAAACATTCCAGGTATTACACAGGATATCATTTTTAAACATTATTTAAAATAGTTTTTCTCATTATTTATTTTACATTTTTTAGATGTATCTGTCAGTCAATTTTCCTATGAAGATATCTTGACTGATCAAATTGTGTATGTAGTCGTTTCATTTAATTTTACAACACCAAAACTAGAAAGTCTATTAATTTGTGTTTACGATGGTAAATATAAAATTTATGAAACATTCAATATTCTAATATATCCTCAAAATAGTGCATTAATTAATGTACAAATTGTTTCTCCAATCGAGATTAAACTTCATGAAAGAATCATCATTAATGAAAGTATATTACGAATAGATAGTAATGAATCGATTGACTTTGATATTGAAAGATTACCACTGTATGGTCAATTAGAAAAATTAAATGAAAATAATCGTTGGACTAAAGTAACAGTTACGATAATCAATTCAAATGATATCAAAACAAATCAGATCTCGTATAAACATATCAATAATACCTATTCAACTGATATACTAACGTTGAATTTTATGAATAACATGGAAAAAACATATTTTATCAATAATTCTAAATCTTCAACAGAAATAGTAAGTATTCATTAACGAGGATACTTTTCTAACGAGTGTGCTATAATAAACTGGACTAAATGTTACTGCATATTATTCGTACTTTCTTCAAACAAAAAAGTTCTTTTATATACCAAAAGATAGAAAATTGAATTCTCTACAAAATCTACTATCTGAATCTCTGAGAGTATTTTTCTTGTTTGAGCACCATTCAAAATATTGAAGGGTGCTGAGCTGTCGAACTGCGATGTGCTTTTGTCGTCTCGACTTTTTTAAATTTTTAGCCCATTGTTTGAGGTTCAATAGTTAATTTTTCTAGGTAGACAGATAGAGAATTTTTCGCTCTATCGATCTCACTCATTTACAACCTCATGCAATGTTTCCACTACGTCAGCTGGCCTCATAATTAGTTT